GTTTATACACTCCTATATTTATTATAATTTACCAATAGATGAAGAGTTAACAGTCTCCGAGAAGGAGTGCTTCTCTTTCATTCTCACAAAAGTGCTCTATGGACTAGCGGCAGTCCAAGACAGCAGAAAACTGGACGGGAAGCAGGCAGAGGGCTGAGAAAGAGCGAGCTGGGGGCAAGACAGACTGTCAGGCAAGGCAGGGACTCGTTGGGGACCTGGTCTGGCCGGGGTTGGAAGAAGGAGCCTGCGGGCCAGAGCTCAGGACGAGCAGAGCACGGAGGAAGCACACACACCCAGGACCCCCTGCCTCCTCACCCACGAGCACAACAGTAGCCTCAGCATCTTCGGGGATCTTCTCCAGCAGCTTCAGACTTTTTCCCCGGTGACTGTCTCCCCCAGGCATGTGGAGAGGCTTCTGAGGACGCAGAACTGGAATAGGGCTGGGACCCTGACCGGAGGCCGTGGCAGGCCCTCCCCTCCCTTGTTCCAGCCCTGGACTCTGCCCTCCAAGCCCTGGACCTGGGCCCTGTTTTCTCCCTCCCCAGCCAGGAAAGGGACTGTCAGTGACGCGCCCCACATCAGGAGGAGACCACTCCGGTTGTGGACCCCTCCTCCCAGCTGCCCACTACCACCTCTGCCTTATCTTGTTGAAATGGGTCCCCTGGGTCTGCCACGTCAGCCCATTTAAACCTCCTGTTTCTTTAGGGCAGGGGCCCTCATGCGTGTCCCTTACAGATCCCCCCGCATGCCTCGTATAATGTCAGGCATTCACACTTCCCGACCCGCTCAGGGAAGCCAGCGGTGGCCTCGAGCGAAACCAGAAGGCCCCTCAGTCCCCCAGCCCGGGTCCGAGCAAGGCGACTGACCTCCTTGGCATCAGGGTCATGAGGCCAGAGTGGGGCTGGCTCCCCCACGTCGTCAGCCACGGTGGGCACTGCGCCGTCAGGTCCGTGGCTGGGGGTGGGGTGATGATTCCCCAGGACCGAGTTCACGCTGGAGCTGGATGGGTTTCGGGGAAAGAAGCCACTGTCCTTGTCATCATTGGGATGGCTATGCAGAGGGCAAAGGGAGCAAGACAGGTTAGGAAAAGAGGCTTTTCGTGAGCTGAGAGACAGAGAGTAAGGAAGAACTTTCTAATGACTGGTGCTGTCTGAGCATGAATGAATAATGAGTTCCCCATCGCTGGGGTTATTCAAGCAGAGGCTAGAAAGCCGCACAGAAGAGTCTGTGCTCCTGGAAGGGCACAGGCACTAGAAGGCCCCCCTCCCAGGCCCCTCACCCTGGCACCTGTGCTTCAGCAGGAGGGTGCGCAGGACGCTGGCCCTGTCCTCCGGACGGATCTGGTCAGACACGATCATGGTCTCCACCACGAGATGGGCGATCCCCGGCAGAGTGGTCTGCTCCAGGTCCAGGAGGGCAGCTCCTGGCGGGCACGGTTGGGGGTAGGATCCCATCAGAGAGGAAAAGCCACCCCAGCCACCTTGCTCCCCAAGGGCAGGCAGATGCGCCGAGTGAGTCCAGCACCCGATGCACACGGGCAGATACTCAGTGCCACCTGGCACAGACGAGCCAGACACACGGATGTGCAGAGGGAACACGGAGCAAGGCCATGGTCCCTCCAAACCCAGGGAGGTGAGTCACTGGTTAGTGTACTGCATGGGGACAGGGGCCTACAGGGGCACAGCCCGGCCCCTCCGAGCTTACAGCTACGCAGGCGGTCGGACTCTACATCTCCAAAGTGGCAGCCAGACCTCGCCTGGGCGCAGGCCCCCAGGGAGTAGCTCCCCAGGGCTGGACAGCCTCCTGCCGGCCGAGCTCCCTGGTCGGTGAAGAGGGCCCGCACCCCAGGGCCAGGCCTGCAGGGCCCCTACCATGGGCGATGGTCCTCCTGAGCTCCAGAAGGCTGCGGAAGGAGAGCGAGGCCACGTGGGGCTTCCCCCAGCGCTCTGTCTCTTCCTCCACATCCTCCTCAAACTTGATCCAGCGTGCCGTCTCCCGCCAGTGGGGTTCCTGGCTACGGTCCAGTGTCAGCTCGTTCAGCTCCACAAACACCTGAGGCAGGTGCCAAGGGTGAGGGTCTGGGGGCCGCCAGGTGGGATCGGCGGTCTCGGAGGCCTGGCAACCAGGCAAGGCGGGGTGGGGGGGTGGGGGGGGTGGGAAAGGGAGGCTCTAGGGAGGAGAAGGGAGGGGAGGCTGCAGGCCCACCCCTCAGTCCCCTGTACCTCATGAGGCCTCCGATCCAGCTTCTTCTTCTTCTTCTTCCTGCGCAGGATGGGTGCCAAGCCCCCGGGGCTGCCCCTCCCAGCCTGCGTCCGCGACGGCTTCTTCACAAGGTGCCGCCGCACCCCAGGGTTGTCCTCCAGCCGGTGACCTGCAGGCAAGGCAGGCTTGGTGGTCCCGGGGGTCCAGCTCGGGGCCTCATGGTCAGAGCCAAGCCCTCCAGCCCCCTGCTCTGGCCAGCCAGGGGCCACATCCACACAACCCTATAAGCCAGCACAGCCACGTCACAAAAACGCGAGGGCCCAGAGAGAGGGACGAATTACCGCAGAGTAACACAGCGGACCACTGGCCAAGCCACTGTAAGAAGGCAAACCCCAACTCAGTCCACAGCCCCGGCTGCCTACCCTCCCCGCCGCCCCCGGCCACTGCCTCCGACTCTGGAGCACCACGACCTACATGGAGTCACCAAGCCCCCAGTCCTTTCCCTGTGCCCTCTCTCAGCTCCCAGGTCTCCCCCACAGATGCACATCTGACGGACTCAAGCAGAGCTCTAGCCTTTCCTCCCTGCTCGCCCCTTCCCGGCCAGCAGCCGCGGAAAGGCCAACAGCCCGGTTACTCACAAGCTGGCCCCCCTGCCATGGGGCTCAGCTGGCCCTGGGTGGGTTCCCACAGGTCACCGCCCTCAAGGTCCAGCACCAACATTTCTAAGTCCTCTGAGGCCAGCGAGTCTCGAGGGCTGGGGGCTGGGGCCATCCAAGGACCCTGGCTCTCTGTGTTCCCAGGCCCAGGGCTAGGCGCCCTGTTGGGCTCCGTGAGCTCCTCCAGCAGGCTCATCCTTCTCCCGGTGGCCGAGCCCTCAGCCTCTGCTCCTCCCCGGAGCCCTGGCTCTCCTAAAAGCTGGGAGCCTGGACCAGTGGTCTTTGTTCAACCCGAGCCTCCTGACTCCCCTGACTCCCCGTGGCCCCAGGCCGGCTCCCTGCTGCTTCCTGCCCCCAACCTGAGCTGTAAACACGCCCTCTGCTGACCCACCACCCCCACCCCACTGCTGCCATCGGATTGTTCCTGTCCCTGTCCTCAGGCCCTGGCAACTTTCCATGACGTACTGAGCCCAGAGTCCCCACCAACCTCCGCCCACACACTGTGCTTCCAAGGGGGAGGGAGGTGGGGTCAGTGGTGCCCCCAGCCTGGGCACAGAGCCCCGTGGGTGATGACAGGTGGCACAGAAACCAGGGCGCTGATAAGATGGAAGGAATGTGCCGCGATCACAGCCAGGCCCCGCCAAGGGTGGTGCGACAAGTCGGGGGCCCCCAATGTAGGGAGAAGCAGGACCTAGAAGAGTGGCTCACCCTCAGGGGGCCGGCATGAAGAAGACAAAAAGAGTCTGCCCCAAGAAGAGGAGCCTTGGGGGGAGGGGGACATAAAGTCTCCAAAGGTCACGTGGAAGAGGGAGTTGCCTTATTCAGGGGGTGACTCAGAGGACAGAATCAAGACAGAAGGGCAGAGGTGTCACCAAGGGAAATCTCAGCTCTGGCAACCAGAGGTGGCTTGGTGAGGTAGTGAGCTCCCCGTCCCTGGCCACATTCCAGCAGACAGGGATACTGCAAAGGGACCTAAGCGCTGGGTTGGGGAGAGCACAGAGCTTCTCCAAGGTTCCCCACAGGCGGGGCGCCCATGGGGGTGGGCCAGGGGGGCTGCCACAGGGTGTCACTCACTCTTCATGTCGTCCAGGTCCGCGGAGCCCAGCATCTGGGCCTCCGCCTCGTCAGTGGGCACCTGCTGCTCCGGGCCACCTGGGGTGCCCAGGGCGCTGCCTGGGCACAGCCGCTCCCGCAGGTCATAGCTGGCCGACGGGCTCCAGGGCCGGCTCTTCTCCCCAGCGACTCGGGAGACCCGGGCCCGGGGGCTTGAGGAGCTGAGGAGGCACCATGGCAGCCTTGGACTTGACAGGGAACCACGGTGGAGATGGGCCAAGTTAGGGGGTTCCTTTGCCCTTCCCCAGCTTGGGGTGGGGCCTGGAATAGCCCCCTGGGTGAGAGACACAGACCCCTTCTGGGCAGAGAAGGAAGCTCACCTCCCCCTCCCTGCCCCTGTCTCACTGACCCCCCGCACCTCCCCCCCAGTCTCTCTGCTGCCTTTACCCCTGCCCTCCTCTCTGGTGACGCCTGTCTCTCCTCCTTGTCTAACCTATGGACAGAGAGCGGATGTGCCCCTCCCGGCTTCCTCTGTTCCCTCTCCTCCCCTCTTCTTCTCCTGGCTCAGAGCTGGGACAGTCCCCAGGGTCAGAAGGGAGCCTGCGGCCCGCTCTGGGCTGCGCTGGAGGCCAGTACCTGACTGACTGCTGGGGGCTCTTTTCAGGGCAAGGGCCCACGGAGGGCAGGGGCTTGCTGAAGGCAGCCCTCCCAGAGAGGCCAGGACTGTCGTCCTCATCACTTCCAATGGAGAACTGTGGACAAACCGGAGTGCCCTGGGTCCCCGCACGGGCTCAGCCCCCAACCCGCCACCCCCCCTGCACTCCCCCAGGCAGCCCTGGCCCCCTCGGCTGCATCCTCTTCCCTCCCCACCCCCACACCCTCCCTGAGGAGTCAGCCCTCCTTCAGGGACAGACCCCTACCTTTGCTTTCTGTGGGGACCCCGAGGGCGGGAGCTCCACAGGTTCTGCCTCAGATTCCCCTTCCTCTTCCTCCTCTTCCTCCTCCTCCTCCTCCTCCACTCCGGCTCCCCCCTCCTCCTGGATGGGAGGGGTCCCCTCCGAGGGGGGAGCCGAGGTTTTCTCCTTCTTCCTCTTCCTCCTGGTCTGCCGGGCAGAGGTGGGGGGCAGTCGCCGCAGCTTGTGGGGTGGAGGCAGGCGCGCCGAGAGCGGGTGGTGGGTGTGGTGGGATGTGTGCCGGTGAACTGGGGGTGCAGGAGAGCCGGTTGGGGGTCCCCACAGCAGAAGGGGGCCCCTCACCGCCCTAGGGGCACACACCTTATTCTAGCTCAGGGCCTCAAACAAGGGCACCCTAGACCTTCCTCGAGAGCCAGGCTCCCCCCAACACCTGTGTCCCTGTCCTGCCATTGGTAAGGCCTGGCAGAGTGGGGGAACGGGAGTCAGCGAGAGGGCAGGTCATCAAAGGGGGACTGGGGGAAACGGGAGGACACGCTACAGCAAGGGGGTAAGGCAGAGTCAGAAGGGCTGAGGGAGGTGAGGAGGCAGAGAGAAGGGAGCAGGGCCGGAGGTATGGCAGAGCCCTGGGGAAGGTGAAGGTCACCGAGGGAGGCCTCAGGCCCATCTCCCTACATCTCCCCCTGCGTCTGGGGCCCGGCTCCCCTGGAAGGTGGACAGGCGATGGGTGAGTGAGGCAGGATGACTTAACATGGCATGGTGGCCCAGCACAGCGTCCAGCACAGCGTCCAGCACAAGATGGCACTGGGTGACCAAGCCGGTGGAGAGCACGGTGATGGTGGCAATGAAGGTGATGGTGGTGAGGGCAGCCACACTAGGGGTCCCCAGGCTACCCACACTCAAAGTCCCGCTCGCTGTAGGTGCGGCTGGGCTTCTCAGGGTCCCAGGCCGGGAGCTTGCTGATGAGGTCCCCAAACCTGCTCACAGCCAAGGTCTTGCCCAAGTCATCATCCTCCTCCTCCAGGTCTGGACTCAGAGGGGGCTCCTCCAAGGGCACCCGGACCTGCAGGCTCAGACAGCCTCTCCTAAGGACCCTTGACCCAAGAACGCCCCACATCCACCCCAACTCCAAACCCCGGCTGGGGGCGGGGAAGACCAGCGGGCTCCATCTTCAACGACCCCCTCTCCCTGCGCCCCAGCCTTGGGTCAGCCTCCCAGGAGCCCAGGGCTTGAGAGGAGAGGGGGCAAGGAAACTGAAAAATACCAAAAGGCCCTCCCTTTCCCCCTCCCCTCCCAGCCCAGCTCCATCTCTGGATGTCGGGGTCCCAAGGTCGGCCAGAGGACTCCCCTCTCCTCCTTGGGGTCCCTCCCCTCTTCTCCCACCCCCGCGCGCGGCAGTCACCTGGGGTAGGGGGGAGGCGCCCCCGGGCGGCGGGATCACTCCGTTGGCCATGGCCGGGGAGGCGGCTCGGGAGCCTCTCGCTCACTGAGGGACCCGTGACCGGGTTGAGAAGAAGGGGGCGCTGCGGGGGCCTAGCGGGGAGCCCTGTGGGAGGAGGGCGGGGTCAGGAGCCTCGCGCGGCCGCC